CGGCGGCGTGGGCGGCTCCAGCGGACCACCCCAAGCCAATGGGGGCGGCAAGACGCCACAGCCAGCACATCGCTCGCCCGCGCCGCTTCTCGCCACCCCCATTGGCCCGGGATGGCGAACCGCGGCCAGTGGGGGCCGCGATCGGCTGAACCTGCTGCGTCAGCAGGTAAATAAAACTGGCCCGGCCCGCCGGGGTGCTTACCCTGGTGAGCTGCGTGCTGAACGTTGCCGACCCCTGCTATAGGCTTTCGGTTGGGCAGGAGATGACACCTCTTGTGGTAAACTAGTATTTCACACTTGGTAATGCTTCTCTCCTGACTATTTAGGTTTCCAGCTTCATAACAAATACTTTGATAGTTACAAAGCAAACAGTTAAATATAAACACTTAAATATTACCTTATAACCAGGGATCCTAGTTTTCTATGATAAACCTCCCAAAATTCTCTGATTAAAAAAACAAACATAAAAATGTATGTTTTTCCACGATTAAAATGAAATGCTGAACTGTAGTTTCCCTAGCCACAATACAGTGGAACCCCGCTTATCTGATCTAATTGGGATAGGGGCCCGATCAGATAATCAAAAATTCAGATAATCTGGAGACCTTTAACCCCGCGTGGCAGGGCTCAGGCTGTCAGCCCCAGTTCGGTTAATACAGAGAGCCAGAAAATGGAGGCTCAGATAAACAGGCTTCTGTTTTTATTTCTGCACAAAATGTAAAAAATTAAAGAGTCTCTGTACAAAAATGCAGATTCCACATTTTTCCATGACAAACAGATTTCTAGGATCCCTGCTTATAACATGGGTGTGTACCAGGACCTTTGAGGTCTCCTGCTGGAGGCCTTGCTGTATTACCACACCCCAACCCAGAAAAGGAGCAGTAAAGATGGGTCCTCCAGGTCTCACTAGAAAGGCTGCAGGGAAGCAGCCAATGAGAACACAGCAGGCTCCGATAACAGGAGCTGTCCAGGCTGAGCAGATCAGTTGCTGGCTGGGACCAGAGGGATGAGGAAGGACTGGACAGCTGTGAAACTGTCCAGGCAAGGAGGCCTGGGAGAAACCCTGTGCAAACAAAGAACAGAAAACTTCAGCCCTGAGGTAAAGGTAAAGTGGAAGGGGAATCAGCTCAGGGAATAGCAGCAGCAGCAGCAACTATTATAGGACACAGCTGCTACTTATAGGGTCCCAGGGTTGGGACCTGGAGTAGTGGTTGTGCCCAGGTTCCCCCCACCAGTCATTGTTGAAGTGGCCTAAGCCCTGAGAAAGGGTTAAGGCTTGTTTAGAGACCCAAGTGAAAGGCATAACTTAAGAGTCCCAAGGAGAAAGCTCTGGGGGCACTTTTCTATACCAGGGCAGACTTGGACTTAAAGCTCAGAAGGCGCTGAGGACTGAGCCCAGAGACAGGGCTAAAGACTTTAACAAGGACAGACGCTGTTGGACCTTTTACCCCAAAAGGGATTTGTTTGTTCTTAGAGACTGTGTGTGATTTGGCTGGAGGGCTGAACCTGACGAAGTTAACAGCTGTCAGGGGGTGCAGAGAGAGTGTGCAGTTTCACACACACCCAACAGAAGGTTTTCATAAGAGGTGAGTGCACCCATCACAGTGGGATACAGATATTAGAAGTGAGATTAACGAATGCAACAACTCAAAAGCTTTAATAAAATCCAAACACTAAACAGATCTCTATAAAAGTAATACTCATTTTAATAATACTAACACACAGGTGAGCTGGAATGATTTCTAGCCATGCATTTGTCAATGTTCAGTGAGACCTAGGGGCCTTTGCAGGAGCTGGCACCCGGAAATTACAAACAAACTGTTCAAAGAATATTATCTAGGGCTGGTCTACAATGAGGGGGAGGGAGGAAATCGATCTAAGATACGCAACTTCTGCTACAAGAATAGCGTAGCTGAAGTCGACGTATCTTAGATTGATTTACCTCGGGTCCTCACGGCGCGGGATCTACAGCCACGGCTCCCCCGTCAACTCCGCTTCCTCCTCTCGCTCTGGTGGAGTTCCGGAGTCGACGGGGAGCGTGTTCGGGGATCGATTTATCGCGTCTAGACGAGACGTGATAAATCAATCCCCGATAGATCTATTATCTATAAGACGTACCCTTAGATTGAAAAATCAAGCACTCAAAAGTTAGAAAATGCCAGCAATTCAGATGGCATGGGCAACT